GGAATACAGTAATGCTGACATTACTGCTTGGAGGTTGAATACGTAAGGTGGTTATACTACCCTGGATGAACTAATTAATATAAGGGTTGAATGAGTGGTTTAGTGGGGGTCCACGAGAGTGGATCCCATTTGCACAGACAGCGACCAAATTTCAGATTTCCATAAATGGAATAATCCATCCAAGAAACTTTCTTATAATAATATGTGTCAAACAACCATACCAATTGCCTGGTCTCAAACTAAGGAATTCCCTGTACTATAAGTACCAGAGCAACGGAATTCACTCTCGGGTACTTCCCAGAACACCCAGACCAGAACTAATTTAGAAAAGTTCATTACCCAAATTGATCCTATCGGGAATTGAACCCGGAACCTTCGCATTCAGCGCCCATAATGTAAACCGATATGCCACCGAGGTCGTAACACTTTAGTAGCTTTAGTTGTAGCTACAGTTAGTTATAGCTATTACACTTTTCTTTAAACATATAGTCCCGCTAGGGAAAATCTGTAACGCGGGTGCCATAGACACACATATCTTCTTCTTAGTGTGCCGCTTCTCTACGACCGTTGGCGACCATCATGGCTATTTTCATTTTTGAAGCTGCCGCACGAAAGAGGGTACGTGTGCTAAGGTGGAACTAGTCTCTCAGGTTCGTCAACCACGAGGTTTTCCTTCTGCCTCGACTACACGTTCCTTGTGTTTTTCCCTGCGTTATTAGTTGAAGAATCCGATATTAATTGCCCTTCATTACATGGCTCAAATACTGCACACTCTTAGACAACCACCAATTACACGAGAGAAACAAATGTAGACCATACAAATACAAATAAATAGTGGCAGTCGAGAGTGGTAACCGTTCGACCACTGAGGCAGTTACACTACACTAGCTTCAGTATAAACCATACATATAGTAAAATATATGGTATAAACCATAAACTGTGCAGTTATAAAGTTTCCCTTCATTAAACTGAAATTGACAATAGGAATCTAAGAATGACAATAATTCATGGCACTTGGCTTGGTTTTCTATTGTTCTGTGGCAATTAAGAGGATCATTGGAGAATAATCGAAAGCTCTCTCGCATACAAATTAATAGATTAATCCAATTAAGTTTTCATTAATTTTATCAATTTAGAACTAAATTTAAATGCACACAGGTTTCTTACCACGTGAAATTACAGGAACATGGGACTTGTCAACTTATGTCTCAGGGTGACGGGCGTAGTGGCAGTGGCCATAAGATCTTCACGATTTAAACTCTGAATGGCCACCAGGCTCACGACTTGTTCGACCTGTCGCTTGGTATTAATGATATTATATAAAAATAGTATGACTTCTTATTCTTGTGTCGGTTAAAAAAACATCGTCTTTTTTCATTGAATAATTTTTGTAACGCACACAGTCATAGCCCCGCACTAGGAAAACTACGGAGAAACCCTATATCGCGGTGTCTACGGACACACATATAAACAACCACAAATTACAAACAAACTTACGAGATAAATGTTTCTGTCTGTAACAAAAGATAGTTTTTTTTCATTTCAGCCCCGCACTAGGGAAATCCTATATCGCGGTCTCTATGGACACACATAGACAACCACAAATTACACCGAAACTCACGAGATAAACAAATGTAGACCATACAAATATTTCTCCCGGCCTGGTAATCGAACCTGGGACCTCTGCGTGGCAGTCGAGCATGGTAAACGTTGAGCATGACCACTGAGGCAGTTGTTACTTAATATTTACAACACAGTTTTCCTTTTCATAGAACCAAACTTTTACTAAAAGCGTGGTACAAAGGGCGCGAATTTAAATTTCACGTGGCATTTACCGCGAATTCTTTGGGTAAAAAACTTGATGCCGACAAGTTAGTTCTTTTAAACTCTATAAATTTTTAAAATTAATTATTATTATTGTATTTATTGAAATTCAAATTCAAAGTTTTTATTTCGGACGTTTATCCACAAATAAGGATTAGTAACTGGACACTTAAAAAAAATTCATAATAATAATTCTTTATTTAAACAGAAACGTTACATTTCATTGTAAGGCCCTGACTTCCGAGCTAGGTTCAATGACCTGTGTTACGGAAATCAGTGTCTTCTCTCATAATTAGTAACACATTTTATTTCTGGCAGTTTATATATCTGCTGTTAACGTAATATCTCTTTTTCGCGTAATAGCTTCAAAGCCAATAATAATAATAATCTATGTGCGAGTTAGCAAACATTCCCGATGCACTGCAAAAGCGTGGCAGCTGCAATAATATATTATATCATACAAAAACGGCGCTGAGAGATTTATGGGTGTAGTTGACCCATAGGCTTCATATGTAAAAGCACTGACAGTATGCTTTAAATAACGCAATCTTAACGTCGCACTATGGCAAAAAATTAGTAAAACCTGGTCAATAAAAATACGTTTAAAAAAAATTATCTTCAAATTTATAAAAATTATATTCAAATTTAGACCAGATACCAATCTGGTCTAAATTTGAAATAAATTTTTAGTTGAATTATTAGTTGAATTGATAAAGAATGATGTTCTGCATTCAAATTACATTTAAAAAACCACGTTTGCGTACCGTGCCATTTTAAAGTCGACAGATTTTATTAGAGTGTGTGCTACTAGTTCAATTTTCTAGGAAAAAAATGTGTAACTTTTTCCATTTGTTTCGTTTTTTATTTTTACTAATTACACAAAAAGGATGTCTCAGCTACAGATATGTAACAATAAATATAAAATTGTAATAGATTAATTGCCACAACGTGGCACATATTCAAGTAACCTTAATTTTTTTAAAGAAAACTAACAAATTCGTGATTTTTAAAATATTCTTAAAATATTTTTTTAAATATATTAGTTCCGGATCAAAAATACCTCATTTCCCAAAAGAGCATTTATTAGACTTAACATTAACGTACGTTTACAAAAGGTGCTATTGTTTGCGGCAACATACTAGGAAATAATTATGTTCGTTTGAATTATATGTATATAAAGGAGTAGGATCCAAATAACAGTATAATTATTAACAAGATATATTTTCTATAATTTTTTTAGTTTATCTTTTTAGTTACCATAAGAACGTCGAAGATGGCGCTGATGTTCTGTTTATCCATTTGCCAAAACAAAGCGTGAATCATCTAATCATACGTATTGTAAAAGAAATAAATTATTATTATTATTCATAAGTATGAATTCTGCTTATTCTTACATCAAAAACGCAGTTGACAAGCGTAATTTTGACCGTGTTATTTCTCACTTTTTCCATAGTGCGTCATCAGTACACCTCGCATACCTACGCTACGCAAGTTGCCCCTCGCTGCCAGCGCCTTACGCTCTTTTTCTATCCCCAGATCTTCTTTTAATGACTCCGTGATCAAGTGTCCTAGGTACTTAAATTCGGTGACTCTTTTATGAGGATTGCCACACAATGCAACTCCGGGGACCGTATTATAGCTGTTGCTGCCCGCTTTAAACACTGGCCACACACTCTTTGTCCCGTTGTACCTAAGACTATGAGGCTCTGCGTATTTTTCACAAACGCTAATCAATTTGCGAAGGACCCTAATTGAAGGTCATTCATATATATATATAATTGTACAGTGTCATAAAAACCAATTCTACCGTCAACTAACTAAAACGCGGTCAATATCCGTTTTAAACAGCAAAAGATAGAGCACAAATTTCTCTATTAAAAACAGTTAAAATTAGTTAACGTGTTTGAGTTATCAGAACTGACCCTAACGATGCATAGCTGAAATATCATTAAACAATTTCAATATTCTAAAACTGTGTTATGGTGTTTTAGGATACCTCAAAAAATATCTTGTCAGCTGCGTTTTACTTAACGGAGGGTAGAATTTTGGTTTTACCGTACTGCCACTCGTAGTCTAGTTTGATATTTTTATATATATGATTATATTACGTATCTGATAGATTATATATACGATTACGTTACATTTGATATTAAGTTGTAGTTATAAAGTAATCGAAAGTATCAACGCAGCATACATAAGGACTTATTTTACTATATAATTTAATGATATAGTAAAATCATTCATCATATTATCATTAAATTATATAGTAAAATAAGTCCTTATGTAAAAACCTTCTGTACTGATAACCACGACACTAGCCTAGTGTGGTTATCTATGTATCACAATATTACGTTTTGGACAGTTAAATAAATGTTTTTGTACTTGTATTTTTTTGTAGCTAACACTGATAATTTCACTGTCGGGTAAGATACAAAGATTATTAATTTAATTCTATCTGCCCTCACCGATCGACATGCTCATTGATTGCGAAATCATACTTGTCATGCAATAAAGAATTGAATTGAATTGATACGAAATTTCAAAGAATTGTTTCATATTTTAACCGATTTTAAAAAGGAAGAGGTTCTCAATTCTTCTGTATTTTTTATTTTATTTTTTTTGTATGTAGGTATTTCCATTATGCAGTAGGTATTCCATTTCTAAGGGTGGCAAACTAGGGGAGCCATCCAGTTTCGCGTACTTTCCGGTAACCGATTTCAATAAAACTTGGTAAATAGATGGAATTCCACGAACTTTTGTCGTCGGGGTTTTTAGTACTCTTTCTAAGATGCCAGAAGTGCGCCAGGTTTTAAGCCGCACGCCTGTCCGTAGCACTTACAGAGCCATTCAGAGGTTTAAATCACAAAGATCAGAGGGCACTGCCATTGCGCCCGTCACCCTGATACATAGATTGACAAGTCCCAAGTGCCTGTAAACTTCATTAATTAATAATTTCACCAGCACCTTTACCCTTCAAAACCGGAACACAGTAATGGTCACATTACCGCTTGGCTTCAAAAATTGATAAGGTGGCAATACTTCCCTGGACGAACTCGTTCACAAGGAGCTCTACTGCTCCTCTACTTACGTGTGAAACATTGTCACAAATCATCCAGTGTTATCATGTTCAAGGCTTCTAAATAACTTACTATCAAAGCTTAATCATATGTTCTTACCTGGGGGCAGCCCTCGGCAGGGCAGTGTACACCGGCCACTCGTTGTACATAAGCGGGTCGCGGTATGAGCTCACTTCGTTCATGATCTCAGGCGCCCGAGCTTGCCGCTTCGAGAACCTGTTGACAGAATTAAGTTTTATTAGATCGGTAATTAAATAACAAGCAGAGTAGAGTAGCTAGAACGACAGTCTTCAAACGATACATAAAAAGTCACGATAAATAACGTGACGATAGATAATCGTTGCTTGAAACGATTCTGCTGTGCACACAACAAGGCAGCTGCCGTGACCGATAAGTTGTAGTCACGATCTAGTGGGAACAGCTAGACACGATAGTCGTTCAACGATATAACAAACTTCCATGACACAGTCACGACAGATGTTCGTGATCTGGCAACACGCTAGACGCGACTGTCGTCTAACGATAAATAAAATGTTACGACATGATGGGAACGCGGCGTTAGTATTTTGGGTGTATATTATATGGGTATAGTTGTCTGATTTAAATTAATGAATAAAAGAATCTAGTTCTCGCAACATAAACATGTTCCTGTGACATAAAATTGAAGTACGTTTTGCGTAATGATCCTTATACTAAAAGAAACTTTTGCAAGTCCTTACAAAAATGCCCGTTACAACCTTTTGCGGATAATCCGATAAAACCCAAACCACATGCTGCGAGCGGTAAAGCGGAACAACAGTTTACCAGTTGACTGTAAATAATTCTGCCGCCGTTGCGCCGCCCTATTATTCATTACATCACTATCGCGAGAGGTGTTCGAGTATTTCAGTTAGTGTATGTTTACAAGGATTATTAGTATCTACTAGAACAAAATAAATATCTTGTTAAATTAAAACAAGATATTTATTTTCTTTGATCTTTATTATGATTATCCATGCTGACAGTTTATTTAGTTTTATCTCTATAATTTTTGACGAGTGACAAAATGAAATAAAAAAGAAGTAAAATGTTTGGGAAACCGAACTTAACTTTTTTAACTGTATCTGTGGCCGAACGGTTACCATGCTGGACTGCTACGCAAAGGTCTGGGGTTCGATTCCCGGGCCGAGAGAAATATTTGTATGGCCTACATTTATTTCTCTCGTGGAATTATAGTTCTATACGTGTGTCCATGGCATCTGCGATACAGTGCCTTCCTAGTGCGGGACTATGAGTGTGTGTGACATAGCAAAAACATTATATTGTTCCAATAAATTATATAAATATCAAGATGATTTTCAAGGTACCTATATTTGTCAAGATAATTATCAATGATAATTATCACTTCGAATCTACCTATTTATGACAGGTTTGTGGAAAATACTTTCTCGTTGTGTTTATACGAACATTTCATTAGGGATGATTAATTTCGAGCCCCGTGACCGCAGTCATTGAAATTTGGCCGAAACGTCGGAATAATAGTATGTAGGTGTGCAAATAGCCATTAAATTGATTAATCGCGTTTATTCCCGTTTTGAAATGTTAATGGGGAAGCGGGAACAACTTCGCGTAAGTTTTAATTTTGTAAGACAAAGAAACGAGTGAATGCGAAGTTCTCTACAAACATTTTAGGTAATATGAAGTCTGCCTTTTTTGAAGACGTAGTAGTGATATTTCCAGGGTTGCCAGTTTTTATAAAATTTTGAATAGTCATAAATTTGTTGTCAACAGTTTTATAGATGAATTGTGAAAGATGGTAAAATTTTGCCAAAACGTCAGAATTGTCAATGTTACGACGTTGTAATGATTATTATTATATAGATTATTATGCATTCTTGCCGTCTGGCAATTAATAATAATTACAACGTCATCAGACCATCAGAATAAGTATAAAGACTTATACTTATTCTGATGGTCGGCTTTTTAGAGTCGTAATCAACTTTTATTCATACCTGTTTGAATAAGAACACGCGGATTTCATTTAACTACATTGAATTAAAATGAAAATCTTTAAAATATGTTATACCTCTTTGTATTTTTAATAGACATAGTTCTAAATGCAGTGTATGTATCTTTGAACTTACAAAAAATTACAGTTAAAATGAACCTGAGCCAAGCAGTTGAACGAATAATAATTCGTTAATGATTCAAATGAAACAATTTCGGCTATTTATTGCATATACGTCACCACCGTTCCATCGTTAGATGACAGAAAATTTATCGACTGGAATCACTATAATATGAATCGTAATTGGATGTAAACAAAGACGTTAAAAAAGCAAAAAATACATTTTAAATGGTAGTTTCCTATTTCTGACCGTAATAAACATTTTGAACTCTTTTCAAGGTGTAATCTTGGAATAATTCACATTCTGCAATATATATTTTTACTTAATTTCGTTTAATGCAATTATTATAATAAAAGTCTATGTTAAGTTAAGGTCGTAAATATTTTTATGACACGAGCAACACAATCAAAAACAAACAATAAATCAAAAATATTTTTGTGCCGCCATTTTATCGGGTCGTAGATGTCATTCGTTGCTCCGTTTCTCGACCTCGAATATTTTCTGTTGAAGCTTAATTATACAAAATGAGAACGTGCTCTATTCAAATTCCGTTAAATAAAGAAAATTTAGCACGCCTGCTTCTACGCTTTGACAATGACATTTCATGACATTTCTTTGTTTACATTTTGGCATTGAGTATATAGAGAAAGATATAGAGACGAAATTAGGGTCATCCATCCCCGACAACTCATCATGCAAATGGGCCTCTTATCAGTTTTAAACATTAACTCTCGTTTGCACTGAAATCACAAATTAGAAAGCTGAAATAGACCAGCTCCAACAACTGACCTATGTGTACGTCGCCATATATTCCAAAAATATTCTGTATATATTGTAGCAAAGATATCTAACTAATATCTTTAACTACGGGTGTTCCATTCAAAGGTGGTGTGGGAAAAACAGCAAAACATCTAATTACAAAACAAACAGAATCATATTTCAACGGTAATTAAATATGTAATTTTTCAATTTTCGTCCATTATAGCAAAGCCCTAGTTAAACTGGTCGATTTGAAGTGAAACAATTGACGATACCCGTCAATTATTTCGAATTCGGGCTGGCTAATCGGAGCAGTTGTCACCGTAATGATACGGCAGAATAGTTTTCAAACAAATTAAATTATATTTCGTCTCTGTTTCTGGTTATATACTCGATGCATTTTTAACCGACTTCAAAAAAGGAGGAGGTTCTCAATTCGACTGTATGTTTTTTTTGTTACATACAAACGTTACGCGATAACTCTGGTACTTGTGAACCGATTTTTATGATTTTTTTTGTTGGAAAGAGGGTACCTCCATAGTGGTCCCATTTAATTTTGAAGAAAATCATCCACCTCCAAGGGTGGCTGTTCGCGCCAGAAGATTCAGTTTTATAAATAGCGCCTACATTTTATTACAAGGAGCAATTATTTTAATGGTTGATTTTGCTATTCTCCAATTCAAGGCGTTTTTCTCTCTCAATATACTTTGAGTAATGAGAACCGATTTTTATTATCTCCTGTATCAAGTACCGTATAGTGGCGAACTCGGGGATGAATCCGGGTTTGCGCACTCTCCGGTAACCGATTTCAATAAAACTTGATAATAAACTTACAAAAAATTACAAAAAAAAATTATATGTAATTCCACGAACTTTTGAGGTCGGTTCTTTTTAGTACTCTGTACTGAGATAATGGACATCTGATTTTGAGCCATACTATAGCTGCTTTCAAGCGGGAAACACTTTTGCGTAATGAAATGTCATTTTACTTCCATCTTCAAAAAGGACAGAATATAGATGAGGAATAAATAACTGATGTAGAAGCTTTTTAAATGATATTTTTGCGCATGAATGGCGGGCTGTCGATAGGGAATCGCAGAGGCGTGTCGTCGTTGACATCGAGTGGGAGCCCTGTTTCAGGCCAGTTACGACCGAACTCTTATTTAATAATTTTTTATTTTAACATAAATTGGACCAATTGTGTGTTTTGTGCCATAGGCGAAAAAGTTTAAATAATGTTACTGCCATACCGCAATATTAAATTCATACTCGTTTTTTTAATATACCAAGTGACGGGGCGAACAAGTCGTGCACCTAGCGGTAAGCGACACGTCTAGTTGCAGTGCCACTCAGAGCTTTAAACCGCAAAGATCTTAGGGTCACTGCCAATGCGCCCGCCACCCTGAGACATAAGTTAACAAGTCTCATGCGCCTGTAATTTCACCAGCACCCTTACCCTTCCAAACCGGAACGCAGTAATGCTAACATTACTGCTTGGCGGCAGAAATAGGTAAGGTGGCAGTGCTTCCCTGGACAAACTCTTTCATAAGGAGCTCTACTGCATTATTTATTGAATTCATTTTTTAGTTTAACTTTTAAAATCCTGTGTCGCGAGTGCCATGAACACGTACATACACAACCATAAATTACACACACACGAGAGAAATAAATGTAGGCCATACAGTTATTTCTTCCGGCCCGGGAATCGAATCCGGGACCTCAGCGTGGCAGACTAGCATGGTAACTGTTTGGGCAGGCAGTTGCCAAATGCATAAATGCCAGACAACCATATCATTACCTGGTCTCAATCTAGGGAGTTCCCTTTACTATGAGTGCTAGAGCAACGGAATTCATTCCAGGGCACTACCCGGATTCTTTCCTAAATAAGTCCTATTGGGAATCGAACTCGGGATCTCCGTATCTAGCGCCCACAGTGCTAACTGCTAGGCCACTAAGGTGCATAATTAGAAACCATTTATTGCAACGCCACAATATATAAGAAAAGCACAAAATAAACGTAATATAAATAAAAACAGAAATAACACAAAAAACAGCGTAACAACATTAAACAACAAGTTACATAATACTACACTGACGAGTGTGCGACCGTGGCGTATGCAAAAGAATCCCATTCTGCTAAAGTCATAACCAAGACTTAGGTTGTGACGCTGGTTTTCAATGAGTGACGGACGTATGCGTCCCGAAGTGAAAATAAAATAAACTACGTAATACTTATGTCTTATGTGTATATTGTGTTATTGCAGTGTGTACTCTTATATCGAATATTTTTTTCATTTGTTTGCATTCAGGTAACAAAAACCCATAAATACATACCTTATAGACTAACGT